CTCAACATAATTTAAAAAAATAATAAGAACATCCTCTTGAGGGATTGTCATTTCAGAAGCAATAAACGATTTATACTAGATGTAGTAAAAAAAATTCCATTATTTTCCCTATAGATGGTTTTAGTTATCTAGACGCTTATATTATATTTCGTACTAAAAATCTTTTGAAAGTTTGGTAATTGGTTGACTCAATTTTGGAATGAAGGTTTTGCTGTATGATTGGTGGGATTGGCAGAAAATCATCTTTTATGAGCTGCTCCCCTACGGCAAAACTCTTTACTCGGAATTGTACTGTCTGTCTGAACAATTGACTCGTCTAAAAGAAGCAATAGCACAGATACGGTCAGATTTAAGTAATAAGAGAGAAATTGTGTTCCATCAGAACAACGCCATGTCATGCATATAGATAATGACTCCCCAAAAGCTTCGGGAGCTTGGATGGTAAGTTCTTATGCATTAATTTTATACTCCAATCCCGACATCAAGTAATAACCATCCATTTATGTCCATGGCGAACGATTTTTTTGGTGAAAAATTAGCTTCAAGAGAGGATTTCTATGAGAGAGCCATAAGGAAATTACCTTCAAAGTGGCAACAAGTTATCGAACAAAATGACGCATATTTTCCTATGATCTCTAAATCGGATCATTTAACTATGATAGGATATTAGTATCGGTATCAATAAAATAAAAATAATGGCTTCAAAGCAGCCTTCAATGAGCAATATGTTAAGGAACAAGAAGTTAAGCCTTTAGTCACTGATAAGCACGATCGTAAGGTATACACTTTGCGTTACGGGAGCAACGTGCTTTTTCGGAAGGGGGAATAATGTAGCCGTCGATATTCTCAATAATCACAGTAAGCTGGATTACAATTCAATTATATTGACAATACAGAATTTGGAAAATTTTAGTAAGAAAATTATTTTCCCAGAAGATGTTTTTAGTTTCCTTATTAAGGAATAAACAGAACACAATAAACAACTTTCAAATTTAAATATAGCCTCTGTCTTTTTAATTCGGTTCAAGTACAGAAACTACGTTATAAATATATTATATATATATTATGTTTTATATTGTATTATAAATTAATTTATATATATGCATATATATTTATATATGTACATGTATTTATATATTTATTTATGAACTTATTTAATTTATATTATTTAATAAATATTAGTATTTTATAAGCCACTTTTTTCTCTTTCTGAATATTAGTATTAATCATACTCTTATTCTTTTTCTTTTTCAGTTCTACTCTGGACACTTATTAATCGAAGGGATACATTTAATCATTTCAAGAAATAGCAGTTGATTGTTGAACTAAATTATAATAAAATAATTATAATTACTAATTCACGTAAATTTAAAATAAATTTACAAGTTAAATATTACAATATATGTTAAATAAAAGGTGGACAAAATATATTATAAATAAATGTGTAAATTAAAATAAAATTGAATTTAAATAAAATCACATATATTAATTTCAAATGTATTAAAGTCAGTGTCATATACCAAATTAATCACCAAATATATAATACAAATTTTAAGAAACTCACTTATTAAACTAAATAAATTGGAAAAAAAATTTAATAAATAAATCAATATAAATTGGAAGGAGTAACAATTTTCTATGAATTGATATAAATGTTTAATATCAAATAAAAGGATCCTATAGGGATATATTACCTATGGAGAAAAAAATGCATTCAACACTACTTACTCTAAAGGTGTTAGAATAGTAAGTTGTACTAAACTGCTTGTTAAGAATTTGAGATATTCAAGTACTTTATATAAAATATATATATAAAATGCTTTAAATTAACATTCCAAATCAACCAAACATTTTGCTCAAGTGCTGTACAAAACTTCAACTCAAAACTAAATTATTACATATATATTTTACTCAGTATATGGAGAAGAAAATTAAAACCAATAATTGAAAGATACTCGTATTAAGTAAAAAGCGTTGAAAATTAAAACATTTCCTTACCAAATTAATAAGAAATAATTAATTAAAAAGTATAACATATCGTGTAAAATAATATTTTGATTTAAAAATTTGAAAGCAAAGAATATTTTAAACAAAATAATTATAATAACTTAAACCAGTTTGCTTTCGAGATACAATAAACACCATCACAGAGAACACAAGGTACCATCAAAATGTCGGAGTCCAGTGAAAATAATGGTGACCAACAACAACAACAGCAACCAGGTAGCGATGAAGCCGTCGGTGAAAATAAAATGAAATCGCGCCTACGCAAGGGAGCGCTTAAGAAAAAGAATGTCTTCAACGTTAAGGACCATTGCTTCATACCGCGCTTCTTCAAGCAGCCGACATTCTGTTCGCATTGCAAGGATTTTATATGGTAAGTGGTTTGCCCTCTTGCGATACTCATAATTATACTTAAATGATTATCATTACATTTACCGTTTCTCGCCGTAATTACTCTAAAATATGTATAATATTTGTGTTCATAATTTGAATACATGGCATAAAATACTTAAAAATGCCTATGTCTGGGCAATTTAAGCACGCAAATGCCTTCTCTGCTTTGTTTAAAAAATGGTACACTGGCCTTTTGCGGCAATTAAGGTTACTTAATTTGCTGCGTTTCTGTACTCAAATGTTAAACTTTCTTGTACAACCTGCAATATATTTAAATTACTTTTTCTTCTTACTACTTTCTTCTGCATTTCATTCTATTTCTGTAATATTTTTACGACATTTTTACTATGCATTTTTTAAGTATTCCTACATATTTGCACATTCTTGTCCAATAAATCGCAATTTTTTGTCTTCTTTCAGAGTTTTTATTCTACTTTGTCATGACTTTGTTAAGATTGTTAAGTTGAAATTTATATAAAATCTACAGGCGTGGCATAAATAAAATTTAATTTTGTTTCTAGAAACACTTTCATTTCATTTTATTTCAAATATTTGTTTTTGGTATTGAAAAATATGGAACTTTTTATGGTTTCATTTCGGTTGTAACTCATACGCCATGGTGTGCGCAAACATTTCGCATTAGTGGTGTTTTTATACAATTTTTTGCTATTGAAAAAGTAAATTCTGTTTTCCAATGCAATTTTGTTTATATTTATTGTAGCTTTTTATTTCTTTACATAATTTTTTTTTTTTTTGAAAATAAACTTTTTATTGAAACAACACACAACGGACAAATAAAAACAGTTTGCATTCGGAAAATATTTAATGTTGCTGAGTAAATAATATTTTCAGTTTATATAATGCAAAATTTGATAGTATAAAACCAATTCAAACAATTAACGTATATCGTTTTATTTAAAATGTCAGAGTGTTCAATAAAATATATCCTTATTTAGTCATTAAAATTATTGCAATGAAATTTATGTATATTAAAAAACCATGCAGCAATTACTCGAAGTTGTTTTCAGTTACTAAATACAAATTTTATATCGGATTAATAGTATAAATAACAAAATCAATCAGAATTTATTAATCAGTAACAGTGAAAATTACATTCACACTTTAATGTAAATTTGAAGAAATTTGTCATTCCTTTATTCTTGATAGTAAAACCACTGCCTATGTACCGCAATTGATAAGTTACAGTTGCGATATCTTAATGTAATTTGTAGATTTGTGTGAGTAACAAAGTTGTTGTAATTACCGTAGAGGAACTCACAGGTTTAAAAATGTCTTCGAACCTTTGGCAAAGTCTTAAATGTTTTTTAGAGGAAGATTCCAGAACTTGGGGAAGATCCACAAAAAAATACCCTTAAAATGGTGTATCGAAGTCGCCTATGCATTGTATAGTAACAAAGCAATTCTGTGACACCTTCACCGTACTCTTCACAGAAATCCAATTAAAATGATTAAACGGTTGGGTCAAAATTTCAGCATTGTTCATTAATCGTCATTAACCTATTAGCAAACTTATCAAAAGACTGATATCATTACAGGGCAGTTCAATACGAGCAGTGGTAGTGATAGTTATCATTATCTTCAAAAGTAAATTAATTACTGTCTTTCCTCACATTTTACTTTTTTGCCTCGTTGACATCTATTATCGCTTAGTTATTAAATGTTATTAAATTATAGTTACTTTGCATGAAATTAATTTCATACAATTCACTATTTTCGTACTCCAAGGAGTAGTGCGGTGTTCGAAACAAGTTCTCCGGATTCGTTACAAAAATTTCATCTGGATAAAGTACATGATCCGGAATTGATAGAATAGGGTATAACTTTATTCCGTACACATCTCGTATAATTGACATGGCAAAGCCGGCCTCAGTCTACCGTCAGTTTGACTGCATAATAAATACGGTATTCCGATATTCGTTCTGACCAGAAGTATGGAACGACTCCACCGCGTTTTAATCTTTTGTTGATGTAACATACTGCCTCTTTTTTCCAGTCAAAGAATTGTCTCGACGTGCTTCGTCATGATGAACCAATTTTAATTGCTGCTTATAAGCAAAAAGGACTGGGCTTACGGGACTTCAAATGCCACTAATCTGTGCTTTAAGTCTTGCTTGTTTAGTTTTTATCGTATTCTCATATGGTGTAGATATCTCCCAAAGTAGCCATGACCGAAGAGTTGCTGTGTTTGGTAATATTACATATCACTTAACTTTTTGTTCAAAATAAACTGAGATTAAAAATATAACTAGCAATACATATGCCGCTGTTATGACAGTTTCACCGTTCTTGCCACTGTTAAACAGTACGCTTTTTGACATTTTTATCACCATTATTATAATCATTGACTTAGCGACTAATCTTACATGCATCTGCATTCCATAGCCATAAGGTCTATGTGTATTTAACTAATACTCATCAACACTGCTGCTGCCGAACTCTTTCGATAGAAAGAGAATATTCTGCGAACCTGTGTTGTCTAAATCACTGTTTTCTGAAGTTCTCTGAACCGATGTTCTATGAACCACTGTTCTCTGAAGCGTTGTTCTCTGAACAGCTGTTCTCTGAACCGCTGTTCTATTAACCATTGTTCTCTGAAGCGGTGTTCTCTGAACCGCTGTTCTCTAAACCGCTGTTCTCTGAACCGGTGTTTTCTAAACTGCTGTTCTCTGAACCGCTGTTCTCTGAACTACTGTTCTGTGAACCATTGTGCTCCAAACCGCTGTTCTCTGTGGTGCTGTTCTTTGGATCGCAGTTCTCTGAACTACTGTTCTTTAGATTGCTGTTCTCTAGACCACTATCCGGCAGACCATTGTTTTTTGGACCGCTATTCTCTGTCGTGCTGTTCTTTGGATCGCTGTTCTTTGAACTACTGTTCTCTAGATTGCTGTTCTCAGGAACGCTATTTTGCAGACCATTGTTTTTTGGACCGCTGTTCTCTGGATTGCTATTCTTTGAACCGCTGCTATTCCTTACACCGTTATTCTCTGAACTGCTATTCTCTGGAAAGCAATTCTTTGCACCCTGTTCTTTGGAACGCTGTGCTCCGCACCACTATTTTCTGAACCATTACGAACGCTTTAGACTTTGGCTTTGCGTTCAATTGGTACCAATAACTTTTAAATTTTCGATATTGCATAACAAATCCAAATTAATAGTATGTGTTCCACATTATCACGACTAAAATACATTAGCACCCACAATAAATAATCATTATACCACGTTAGCTCCAATTTTACGAATTATGACTACACTTTATGCCAAATTACTTATAATTTTATGAAAATAGCTTTTTCAAAGTGTAAATTATGAATAAATATATGAAAAATATGTTATAATTTCGTAGAAAAACCAGCTCCTTTAAAGTGTAAATTACATATTTCTAGATGTATTAGCTTAAAATGTTAAAAATTAAAGTCTGTTTGGCAATGTGTGGCAACTAATCAAAATGTCAAACTGGAAGTCACGCAATGTTGTGCTGCGTCGGACATATGTCAACACAAATACACGCACGTAAGCATTTCAGCGTATCAGCTTTTCCTTGAAAAACGTGGAAAGTAGAAAAATTATTATCAGTGGAGAGCATTATTTTTTATTTGCACACAAAGTAACACTTTTAACCCACTTTGGAGCCGCGCAACGGTGTTGTTGACTTGTCATAACAATTTAAAAACGATGCAAAAAAAAAAGAGTAGAACACAAAAAAAAGTTTTCCGTTTTGCGCTTTTGCGCTTTTCAGACACAACTGCAATATTTTCATTAACATTCTGCCAGCGTTTGTTTACATGTCACCGTCCACTAAACACTGATGTAAAGCTACAATGTTTTCCCAAATCGCTATCGCTTCGCTGTCAGTGTCGCGACTGCCAACGACGACTGCGGCGAATTCACAGCTGCTTGCAAGCACTCCACTCTTATTGCGAATTTTCGGCTTAAGTGTTTACGCTTGTCCTAGTCTTCGTGTATTCGATCGTCACGTTTCCTTCATTGTTTCACATACACACACACACACACACACACCCATACATACATTCTTATATATGGTATAGTGTACATATGATTATTAACGTCATTATGCAAAATATTTACGCGAAAGCGCAGTGGTCGTATTATGGCAACCCTTTAATCCGTCGTCTACCTTGCATGGCTGCACAATATATTGTGTATGTATGTGTGTAAGTTCACTAGTAGGCGATGTAGGCGATGTTATTTTGAATGAATTAGTTTTCACTTTCTAGTGTTCGTCTTTTCTTTTCGAATATACGGTTTTCCTGGCAGCCCGCCGTATTGATATGTGAATGACATGCCGAGGGAAACGTGTCAATATTCTCTATTGAATTGTTTCAGTTTTATTTTCCATTTTCACTGAAAATTTTATTCTGAAAATTGAGAAGTGAATGGAAAGTATATTTACGTGTTTTCTTTGTCTGTGATTGTCTTTTTGTGTAGAACTTAACATTGAAAATAAATGAAAATTGATTTTCTTCTATTTTGTTTATATATATTAATACCTTAAATCATAAATATCGATTTCTCTTTAACAAATGGGCATATATTAGCCTTGAAATATACTCCTGAAATGGCTTAGTGTTCTAACCATTAACGGTTGGAATATAAGTTCGGAAGTGATTGTAACAGCTGGATAGTTCTCAATTAAATAATTTAACTCATCAATAAATAATTATTTAACTTCTTGTGCTAAATGTGTCAGAAAGAAAAAGTTTCTAGATATCTTTTATTCTTTGTATAAAACGTACACAAATAATATTGTACTAAAAATATTAAGAAAGAAATTTTAATTGGATTATGGTACCGTCTTCTTTTTTATTACCTATACATTTTTTTACTTTTTTGTTACTTTTTGTTACTTTTATTACTTTTTATTGCCTTTGATTTCTTTTCATTACCTTTTATTACTTCTTTTTAACTTTCCAATAAAAGACAAAGCGTTTGTCAAGATCTTATTGTTATTTTTTTAATTTGATTTTTATATATTTCTGGTTAATAATAAAGTCATTCTATAAAATAAATAATAAAACAAAAAATACTTCTTTTAAGTATAAATATATAAGAGTATTTTTGAAAGAGTATTTATTAAATACTTTTTAATTTCTTTATAAATAAACAAATTCATATACCTTATGATCAAAAAAGAACAAGAAGTTAAAAAAAAAACGCAGAATTTTAATTTTTAATAATTTTCTTCATTATCGCCTTCAAAGTACTCTCCTCCTGCGGCAATGCATGCATGCCAAT